GAGACAGAGAGACAGAGAGAGAGAGACAGAGAGCGTGCTGTTGATTTAGTGACGTAACGAGTCTTTTATACTGAAAATGAACCGGATATTTAAATGTTGTTTTGGCGTCTGACTTCCTGTCCGGCTCGATGTGCTCTGTGGTTAATTGATGCTGCGTGCTCCGGCGTCCTGCAGAAACAGAGGCCTTGCAAATCCACAGAGGACGTAACGGAGACAGGCAGAACACGTCTCTGGTGGAAGTTATCAGAAACACGCCAACGTAAAGAACGTTTAGTCTTTAACGCCGTTTTCACATCTTCAGGAGAACTGCTCCTGAAATCATCCTCAAAGCAGCTATAAAAGTGCCTTTGTCTGGTCAGCTGACCAATCAGAGAGCCCCTCTCATAGCGACCGTTGCGGGGGCTACTTCTGGTTAGATAAAAGTATTTTCAGAGCGCCACGTTGAAACTGTGACCTTGATTTAGTGACTACACGTGATCAGGGAGGGAAGGAACCTCAAACCTAACAGTACACTGCTTCACAAAAGGTCTTAATTGCTCTTTGAATATTCCGACTATAACATTCCTGTGTTTTGAATCTGTTACTGATGTCACTCATGGAGGTCATTATTGTGGTTGTGTGGTCGTCACGGTGACACGTTATATCAGTTAACCATGACACCGTCTCACTGTGATCAATCATCTGTGTCTGAGCTCGCCAGGCGCAGACCTGGCTGAGGATCATGGGAAATGTAGTGCACAGCTTCACCTGACCGGCTGCAGAACGCCGTCAGAACCTCGAGGCATTTCTTAAAATGAAACTGTGATTTTAATAATCCATAGTTTTGTCACAAAACTTTAAATCAATGACCTCTGTTTCGTCACACAAGGCGTGCAGGAGAGCAACGCACCCAGCAGCGGTTGCAGCGACCGCCTGCACACAAACTGCAACGTTTATGGTCGGACACATCGTCCTGATTTGCACAACTTAGACAGCGTGCAGAAGGTTGCTGCAACCCGACAATGTTGGGTGTCTACGGCGACTGTTTGTTGCCATGGTTTCAAACAGGTCAATCAAAGCGCGGTCACAGGTGCTCCCCGTCAGTTAAAGGGCCAGTCCACTACACGTTTAGTGAAGAGGTATGATGTCACCTTTATCCTCATGATGTCATCAGTCCAGAACACTACCCGTCTAACATACCATCACGTTAACCTGAAGGATGTTGTTGTTATACCAGACTGACAGGCTTTTAATCAGAAAGGGTGCTGGTGCATTCTGGGAAATGTAGGATCCAGTGTTCTTAACCTTAAAGGCAGGACGTGTGTTAAGGTGCTCATGTTGAACAGCGGCGTGCTGGGTGAGGTTGAGAGCAGCAGTGTGACTGTGTGCGGGAGCTTCAAACTTTATTGATCCCTGCTGGAGCTTTATTGGGTCTTTATTGATCCCTGCTGGAGCTTTATTGGGTCTTTATTGATCCCTGCTGGAGCTTTATTGGGTCTTTATTGATCCCTGCTGGAGCTTTATTGGGTCTTTATTGATCCCTGCTGGAGCTTTATTGGGTCTTTATTGATCCCTGCTGGAGCTTTATTGGGTCTTTATTGATCCCTCCGACTCATCTCCACCCAAAGCAGCGAGAGATATCGATCGATAACTTTATTTACACACAGAGAGAAACAGCTCATCAGCCACATGAACATCAACAACAGATCACTGCAGTGTTGCAACAGCACACACTTACATCTGTCATGAATCAACCACAACAACAGCGTGAACACATGGCGCCCCGCCTGGCTGTGAGGGGCAGCACAGGCTGGGCTTTACTACAGAAAATGGTAGATTGGGTATAAACCTGCTTCTCTAATGGCCTCCTTGTGAGCCTGGAACATCTTGACGTTGTTCATGTTGGACTTGCAGTACTTCACGTAGCCGCCGTGGTCCGCCGTCAGCATCCACATGTCGTTGTGAGACCAGGTCATGGCCCGAACCGGACTGTCGTGGGCCTGCGGGGGGGGGGGGGGAAGAGAAGAGGTCAGGAGGTCAGTACGGCTGCTGGAAATATGAAGGTAAGAAAGAATAAATGATATCAGAGTTCAGAGACTTTGATGAAGCGGATCAGAACCAACACTGCAGGCTAACAGGATGCTGACAGGATGCTAACAGGATGCTAACAAGATGCTAACAGGACGCTAACAGGATGCTGACAAGAGGCTGACAAGATGCCAACAAGAGGCTAACAGGATGCTAACAGGAAGCTAACAAGATGCTAACAGGATGCTGACAGGATGCTAACAGGAAGCTAACAAGATGCTAACAGGATGCTGACAAGAGGCTGACAAGATGCCAACAAGAGGCTAACAGGATGCTAACAGGAAGCTAACAAGATGCTAACAGGATGCTGACAGGATGCTGACAGGATGCTAACAAGATGCTGACAGGATGCTAACAAGATGCTAACAGGATGCTAACAGGATGCTGACAAGAGGCTGACAGGATGCCAACAAGAGGCTAACAGGATGCTAACAGGAAGCTAACCAGATGCTAACAAGAGGCTGACAAGAGGTTAACAGGATGCTAAAAGGAGGCTAACAGGATGCTGACAGGATGCTAACAGGAGGCTAACAGGATGCTAACAAGAGGCTAACAGGAGGCTGACAGGATACTGACAGGATGCTAACAGGAGAGTAACAGGATGCTAACAAGAGGCTAACAGGATGCTAACAAGAGGCTAAAAGGAGGCTAAAAGGAGGCTAACAGGATGCTAAAAAGAGGCTAACAGGATGCTAACTACAGGTCAACATCTCTACGCATATATTCGTGAATTGTCTCCAAACATTAGCATTGCATTCTGCAGTTTAGTGAGCGTGCCGGCCGAAACGTGAAGTTCATTTTAAAGTTCTTTGTGATTCCTTCAAACATTAAAATAACGGATAAAGTTTGACAAACTTTAGTCCAAATGTTTTTATTTATTTATATACGAGTTTAGAGACTCAATAATCTGAGTTCTGCTGCAGTATTACACACACACCATATCACTGTGAGGTCACTGTGATGTCACTGTGAGGTCACCGTGAGGTCATTGTGAGGTCATTGTGAGGTCACCGTCATGTCATTGTGAGGTCACCGTGAGGTCATTGTGAGGTCATTGTGAGGTCAATGTGATGTCATTGTGAGGTCACCGTCATGTCATTGTGAGGTCACTGTGACGTCATTGTGAGGTCACCGTGAGGTCATTGTGAGGTCATTGTGAGGTCACCGTCATGTCATTGTGAGGTCACCGTGAGGTCATTGTGAGGTCACCGTGAGATCATTGTGAGGTCACCGTGAGGTCATTGTGATGTCATTGTGAGGTCACCGTCATGTCATTGTGAGGTCACCGTGATGTCATTGTGAGGTCACCGTGAGATCATTGTGAGGTCATTGTGAGGTCAATGTGATGTCATTGTGAGGTCACCGTCATGTCATTGTGAGGTCACTGTGACGTCATTGTGAGGTCACCGTGAATAATAAATAAATTAGATTATTTGAGCGCTCTTCAGTGTTTTCGGACGTAAAGAAGGAAACGCATCATCAACAGTGGATACGATGATCGCACCTTAAGGTAACGGTGAACAGACGTACAGGTGAGTGTTTACCTGAAGGATGGTCTCAAAGTTAAAGGTGAGGCCGTTCCACAGAGTGAACTCTCCACTGGAGGCCCCGGTGACCAGACGCCGACCTTCAGGAGTCCACTGCACACACACACACACACAGGAGAAACACATAAATATAAGGAACTCTGTGGTATAGTGAGGAGGAGGAGGAGCAAGAGGAGGAGGAGGAGGAGGAGGAGGAGGAAGAGGAGGAAACAGAGGAGGAGGAGGGGGAGGAGGGGGAAATGGAGGAGCAAAGGAGGAGGAAGAGGAAAGGGAGGAGGAGGAAGAGGAGGGGGAAGAGGAGGAGCAAGAGGAGGAGGAGCAAGAGGAGGAGGAGGGGAAGAGGAAAGGGAGGAGGAGGAAGAGGAAGAGGAGGAGGGGGAAGAGGAGGAGCAAGAGGAAAGGGAGGAGGAGGAAGGGAGGAGGGGGAAGAGGAGGAGCAAGAGGAGGAGGAGGGGGAAGAGGAGGAGCAAGAGGAGGAGGAGGAGGAGCAAGAGGAGGAGGAAGAGGAAAGGGAG